TCCACAATTTTTATATTTTTCAATCCAAATTTATTCCTGTATCTATGTAATCATCTCATTTACAGTATGGGATGTACAGTGTCAGTCTTTTCAAGAGATCACTTGCTGAAGTCTTAATATAGACCCGTGATGGCAAACCTTTCAGAGCTTTCAATGATAACATTTATTCTCCTGTGGCATGTGTGTCATAGTTTCACTACTAGTGACAGGCTCAGCACTTTCTAGCACAGCATGTTGTCATCTTTGGAACATGTTTTCTTTTCATAGGTTTCACTCATAAATTTAATGCATTTTCAACATTAATTAAGCACTCATCATGTAGTTTTGCAGTTTGAGATCTGACAGCAAAACTAGCATGTATTTTTTTCTTCATCACAATTTCATGGATAGAAGATTTGCTCTTAATGTAGATCTTAGCAACCTCAGCACACAGTAATGTCTTTACTTAGGAGATGTAGAACTTATATCTTTTTGTTAAAAGGAAGTATTTTATTATATCTCCTTAGCATATTAAAATAGCATGCCTGTTCTTTATTTTGGGACCATTCATAAATAAAATAAGGGATACTTTAATATAGGTACTGGTGCCATTACAGGCAATAATCGAGACAGCTGTGGACAAATGTGAAGGGAGCACACACAGCATAGATACAGCAGACAAAAAAATGATTCACATCCTGAGTGGAAGAAACAGGACTGTGCAAGATTTCATCACACTACTCAGGCATACATTTAGCTTTAAAATTATTTCTAGAATTTTCCACTTAATATTGAAACCAGGGGAGATGAAACCATGGGCCCATAACCATGAATAGGAGTATAGAAGTGGGGTGGGGCATGACTATTGTGTAGTGTTATTTTTGGTCTAAAGGGCAAATTGTCTCTTCATAAAATTAAGAAAAGATAAAAATAGTCCTTTCATATTTAGCTTTTATATATTAGGCTGATAATTTCTGCTACTTTTCTTTTACTTTATATATCTAGTTTACACGTGGCATCATTATTCTTTGGCCAGTGGACATATTTTGGTGTGGATTTTTTTGGAGCATAGATTTTCTGGTAATGATTTTCTTACCACCCAGTGAAAAAACTTTAAAAATATTCCTTCAGTTTTAAGGATGTTTTGGCCAAATGCAGAATTTTAAGCTTTTTTTCTTTTTTCCTTTCACCTCTTTAAAAGTAATCAGTCTTTTATGTTCTGGATCGCATATTTTTTTTAAAATTATGTTTATTGGTACAGTTTAGGTATACATCATGATCACATTCTTCATGGGGAATTTTTACCTGTACATGACTTGATTCTTCTTTTTCCCATTTGCCTCCCCTCCCTTCAATCTCTCTTCCCCTCCTTATTTACAAAAGCTTTGTTTCCATTTTTTTTTTATTTTCCCTTTTCTTTCCCCTTTTT